GGGAAGCCTGCTTCTCCCTCTGCCTGCCGCTCCCCCTGCTTGTGCTCTTTCTGTCTCTCTCTCTCTGACAAATAAATAAATAAAATCTTAAAAAAAAAGAAAAAGAAACACCTGTGAAAGAAAATTTTGTTTTGAAAAATTATGCAGTCGATATAGTGAAATGAAAGGAGCTTCCTTCCTAACAGTCTGACTCTCTCTTTCTCTTTGTCCTTGGTGCCCCCAATTGCCCCCCACCCTGTATCTTTTGGAGGAGCTAGTGCCGACTTCTGGTGCTTCTCACGCCCTCTCCAGGTCCAGTCTTGTTGTCAGTAAGAATCAGGAGGTAAGACGAGACGGCCTCCAAGACCTAGGACTTGTCGGTCTTGATGAGCCGATTAATTGTCTAAGAATTTGTCTGTGAAATGTATGAAAGTCAGGGCTGCGGACAAAATGGAGGGGAGGAGAGAGGAAGACTCAGAAGGAAGAGGAGGTTAAGGGACAGTGGAATGTAGCAATCAGTGGAACTGTGGGGGAGGTAGGCCTTCCTCAGGATGTCCCTCTCCAAGAAAACCCCACCTCACCTCACCTTTGCCCGCTTCTGCTTTTAAAAATTTGCTCTTGGGGCGCCTGGGTGGCTCAGTGGGTTAGGCGTCCCACTCTTGATTTCAGCTCAGGTCGTGATCTCAGGGTCGTTAGATTGAGCCTCCCATCAGGCTCCGTGCTCAGCGGGGACTCTGCTTGACATTCTCTCTCTCCCTCTCCCTCTGCCCCTCCCCCTGCTTGCTCTCTCTCTCTCCCTCTCTCTAAAATAAATAAATAAATCTTTTAAAAAATTTGTTCTTAAGAAGAGATGTAAGAAGCCCTGGCTTAGTAGGGGGTGCTACAGATTTAATTATGCCCCTCCCAAATTCATATGTTGAAGCCCTGCCCCCCAATGTGATGACATAGGTGGAGGTGGGGACTTTGGGAAGTGATTAGGTTTAGATGAGGTCATGGGGGTTCCCCCCTAAGGGGTTTAGTGCCCCGATAGGAAGAGACACCAGAGGGGCACCTGACTGGTTCACTTGATAGAGCATGCTACTCTTGATCTGGGGTCATGAGTTTGAGCCCCACACTGGTGGTAGAAATTACTTTAAAAAAAAAAAAAAAAGACACCAGAGAGCTTGCTGTCTCTTTCTCTCTGCTATTTGAGGACATGGCACAAAAATGCAGCCATCTGCAAGCCAGGAAGAGGGGTCTCACCAGAACCTGACCATGATGACACCCTGATTTAGGGGTTCTAGTTTTCAGAACTGTGAGAAATACATCTCTGTCATTTAAGCTACTCAGTCTATGATATTTTGTCATGGCAGCTGGGCTGACTAATATAGGGGTCTTAAGGCTTTTCTCTGAGAATAACAGCCTCCACTGTACTCAGAGGGTTTTGGATCCATAATCCCATTTAGCTCTCGCTGTTTCAGTCAGGGTAATTAATACTCGCTGTCACAACAGAGAGCTCCTGAAATTTCAGTGGCTTGGCACAATAATGTCTTATTTACCACTCATGTAAAATCTGATATGGGACAGAAGACCTCTCTTCCGTCTTGTAGCTGCATCATCTGGAAGACTGGCCTCCAGGGTCATGCTAGAAGGTGGAAGAGAGAGATGGAGGAAGTACACGGACACTTAAATGCCTCAGCCAGGAGCGACACACGCCTCTTCCACTCACAGACCCTTGGCCAGAACTAGTCACATGACCTCAGCCTTCTGCAGGGGAGGCTGGGAAATTCAAGGAAGTCCCGGAGTATTCAGTGTATTCTATCATTTCTGCTGCATAACTCTTATCCTCATTTTACAGATGAGGAACCCAAAAGTTCAAGGCACAATAACTTGCCCAAATAACACAATTAAGTCACAGAGCCAGATATAAATGCAGGGCATTCTAGCTATTGAGCCCAAGCTCTTACCACTGTCCCACCCTGTGGTAGGTGGTCAGAAGGCTTTGTTCCCAATAAAGGGATTCTTGTCATTACTGTGTCCTCTCCCTCCAGGAGTCGTGATCTACTGCTCTCTTCAGACCCATAGTCTGCTGCTTGGGGCAGCTAGTTACCCATCCACGAAGCTCACCATCTCTCCCAGCCCCATTGTGAACTAGAGGGTATCCCCAGGCACTCATAATTCTTTGTACAGAGTTCCCTCCTTCCCTGAAGTATTCGGTCATGCCCTTGTGAGTGTTAGAAAACTGGAAAATACTTTTAACTGCTCAGAAAAGGGCAGATCTGGAGGCAAGAGGCCAGCCACTGTGCGTCAGGATTGGCAAGCTGGGATTCTTGATCTGGGGTCCAAGGGCCCCTGGGAAGTTCACTGAAGGCCCTGAGGGGATGGTGGAGCCCTTGAAATTCTATGTGCATGGCTTAAAAAGTTTTTTTAAGACAGAGAACCCCTGTTCTCTGTCCCTTCACCTTCCTTCCTCTGACATTCTCCAGTGTCTTTCTTCTTTCCTGCACCTTTCTAGTGGTTTCCATGACAATGTTGTCACCGGTCTACAGCAAAATGATGAAAATGAGGGTAATGTAGGGTTTTTTGTTAAAGATAAATTTAAAGAATGCTTCTGTGTTCTAAAATTATGCCCTTCCTACTTTTTTGGTGGTTCAAATGTGTTTTTATGAAACAATGGCAATAATACAATGGTAGTTTTGTTTGGTTTTCCCTGTTGTTACATGGTTGTTATATACACATTGTTAATGTGCAAAATCTGTGAACCCCCAAAGTTTTTTGGAAGTTTTTTTTTTTAAGATTTTATTTATTTATTTTATTTATTTGAGAGAGAGAGCTGGAGGGGAGAGAGAATCTGAAGCAGATTCCGAGCTGAGCGCAGAGCCTGACACGAGGTTGATCTCATGACCGAGAGATCATGACCTGAGCTGAAAACAGGAGTCGGAGGCTCAACTGACTGAGCCACCCAGGGGCCCCAGAAGTTTTATCAGTCTGTGCAAATCCAAAATAAAATTCTGGAAAAAACTGTAGTGGAAATTGTCTGTTACTCAATTCATTCCTGAAGGAACTCCTAAGGTAATCTGGGGAGAATGATGAATAAGGAGGTGCCCGAAAGAGTTTGAGATGTGGAGACAGCCCAGCCAAAGCTTCCTAGAGAAGATGGGCAGTGGGAAATATTTGGGGGTGAAGGGGTGGAGACACCAAGGTCCTATGTGGAATGCCCAGGACAGCCCTGGATGCCAGCAGGAGGGGGCAGTGCTCTTTTTCAAAGCCTTGAAGAGAGACTAGGATTCAGGCAAACTGAGAATAAAGGCCTTCCAATCAGGGGTTCAGGGTGAGCAAAGATTTGGAGGTAAGAATGAGCACAGCAGTGAGGACAGGCTGTCTGCTTGTGGAAGGACATGGTGCAGTCAGGGCAGTCAGTGCTTTGGGAAACTTGCAGGGCCATGAGGGTAACCCCAGTTGAGGTGGCTCCTCAATGGACACATGGGCTGGTGGTGGCAGTGGGGAGATGGGGGATTGCTGGTTCCTGACAAATGGGGATGGATGTTGGCAGGCAGAAACACAGATACCCAGAATAGCCCAAGTTGTGACACGTGAGGATTGCTCTAGATCCAGGAAATGCTCCCCCAGGGGCAGGAGTGAGTCATGGACATGTTCCTTTGGCCAGGGACAATGCCAAAGAAAGGTTGCATAGAAACATGTGCCCACTGCCTCGCATTCCCCAAAAGCATTAGGCTACAGTTCATAGACCAATGAATTTCGCTTTTTTTTTTTTTACTAAAAGAGATACATTTTATACTGGTATTCAGACAACCCATAGATGTTGTTAACATCCATTCCAACCAGTTGATGTCTGTGTCACGCTGGTGGTTGAATATTTGGATTATCATCACTGCAAATGTGTGTGTATGTGTGTGTACACATACACGTGTGTATGTGTGTATGCAACTAAAGTTTCACAAAATAACACATTTACTATATGTGATCTGTTCTGAGATTATTCATTCTATTCCATCTTTTAAAAATGTTGGTTAGGGGGCGCCTGGATGGCTCAGTCAGTTTAGCATCTGACTCTTGGTTTCAGCTCAGGGTTGTGAGATGGAGGCTCCCCACTCAGTGTGGGCTCTGCTTGGGATTCTTTCTCTCTCCCTGTCCTTCATCCTCTGCCCCTTCCCCCACTCAGGCTCTCTCTCTCTCTCTAAAATAAATAAGATCTTTAAAACTGTTGGTTAGAATCCACCAAATTGATTTCACCGCTCTATTGAGTCCAGCTGACTTGACCGTAGGCATCTCTCAGTCTCCATTTGCCCACTGATCCATTCATTCACCAAACACTTAGTGACACATGCTTTACGTTAAGCACGTTGTCGTCAGGCTTCAGTTGCAGCTAACAGACACCACTGTACCTGTTCTAAGCAGAAAGGGATGTAAGACAGATAACTGGGGACTTACAAGGTCACCGAAAGGACTGGAGGAGTGAGATCCAGACTGAGCCTCCAGGAATGAAACCCCCCAAACACTGCAGAACTGAGCTGCCAAGGAAGCTACTACCTCAGTCTCCGTCAGGAAGGTAGGAGTCAGGAGGCCACCACCGCCACCGTCAGCACCAGGAACACACACCTCAGCTGTGATCTAGGGATCAGGGAGCGGCTGCCAAAAATGATTGGCTGTGTCATGGCTACGATATCTGCCCTAGCCAAAAAAAAGAATGCCTCCCACACAAACCCTTCTGCCCCACTTACCTCCACGCACGTCAGTTCTTAGGCAGCGCATGTGATCAGTGACACCTAAATCACATCTGGAGTCCTGGGTGTGGTAGTCTAACGTTTTGCTTTCCAGCCCAGCTATCCCGGAAGTCACACCAGGAGGAGGTGAAACAGAAGCTAACCAAGCCAACTGACAGCAGCTCCGCCCCACCCCCCCAAGCCAGGGACAAATGTCCGGAAGTGGTACAGGTCACCTGGTGTGAAGGTAGGTTTCTACTCCCTGTTGGAAAACTTTTCAAATTTTACAGCTGCATGTTGCTCTGAACACCAACCTATGCCTGATATTTCTATGCTTCTCTTTCATATGTATTTAATCTGTTGGCTTTTTTAAAATCACAAGTTTGTTGGTCAGGGTTTTTCTTCTCCTCCGGCAATCTGGTGAGGAAATCCCATGCCGCACAGCCTTCCGCCTTACCAACTGCGCTGTTCTTATGCACCCATCCTGGCCCACTCTCTGGAAGGTCAGTGGAAGCTGCTCTGTCACTTTCTTCTAGCAGCCATCAAGAGGGAATGCTCCCTCTGCTCTGTGCCATTATCGGCTTTGCTCACTGTAACTTGAACTTGCTCCTCCCCTCTAGACTTCCATGGAAATCATAGTTCCTCTCCCTAAAAACAGTCGCTTCACGGACAAAAGATGATATCTGCCACTTGTGGAAACCAAGGCAAGAGATGGTCCTGGGAAAGACAGGCAGATAGATGAGCTCACCTCCCCTTTCTGTGTCCCTTGATGGACCAAACTCGCTCTCCCCTCTGGTACCCAGCTCTGTGCTCAGCTGCCAGCTCCTATTTAAGAGGATACAATAAGAGCACTCAGAGCTCAATCAATGTCTGTCTAATAAGTAAATTGTAAAACAAATCACTAATAATGTAATCTCATTTACCAAGACAGGGCTATAGGATATACCAATAGGTGTAGACATGGTAAAAGAAACTGCAAAATAAATGGCTTAATATAAGACAGAGATTTATTTCTCTTTCATGTAACATTCCAAGCATACATAGTCCAGGGCTGATACGGCAGCTCCAAAGCCTCAGTGGCCCAGGCTGCTCTGGCATCTATGAGTATTGTTTGTTTTTTGTTTTTTAAAGATGTTATTTCTTTATCTGACAGAGAGAGAGAGCACAAGCAGGGGGAGTGGCAGGCAGAGGCAGAGAGAGAAGCAGGTTCCCCGCAGAGCAAAGGAAGCCTGATGTGGGACTCGATCCCAGGACCCCAGGATCATGACCTGAGCCGAAGGCAGTTGCTTAACCAACTGAGCCCCCCGGGCGCCCCCTATGAGTATTGTTTTAATCAGCAAGGTCCAAGATTGCTTATCAAGCTGTTCCTGTTTCAGGCAGCAGAATGGAGAATGGGGGAAGAAAGGGTTTGAATCCTGCCTTTAAGGACTCTTCCATTCCTTTGGCCAGTCATAGTCACATGGCCAAACCTAGCTGCAAGGGAAGCTTGGAAATGTAGTATCTATTCTAGGCAGCCATGTGCCCTGCAAAAAATGAGGCACGGCAGCAGTCTAGCAGTCTATGTTGTGTGTGTGTTTGCCAGGGGTATGCTTTCTAATCCCACAAGGTAATTCCCATTCGTGCCCAAGAGTCCTGTCCCTAATCTCCTTAATCATGCAATCTCCATACCACACCTTCTCTACCTCCTGGACTCACATTTGACTCCAGCATCCCCCAGCATACAAGCACCCAGTGTGATATGAGAATGGAGAGGCCTTACAGTGAGGATTCATTTGCCTTTGTCATTGTGAGCTCAGACTGACAGGGCTGGGCCAAACACAGTACCCACATTTACACCCCTTGGAAACAACAAATATTTGCCAGCCATGTGTCCAGAAGATGTCACTGGAGCTCTGCAGTTAGCCTTGATGGTTTCCAGCC